GGAGGAAGGCGGCGGTTCCTCTGGAGCCACCTGGGGTTTTCTTCTCCGAGCCCCAGGACAGCGAACTTGAGTTTGACCCGGACTATGATCCTGAGCTGGACCCATTCTTCCCCGAATACTTCAGGTACTGCTCAGCCGAGTCAATTGATCCGGTCCCAGTTTTGCCTCAGCCTCRCCCGCCAGCATCTCCCCCGAGAGGGTCCCGGACACCGCCTCCACCTGTGCCACGTCCAAGGAAGTCCTGGATGCCTCTCATCTCTGTGCCTCCTCTGAGAGGGTCCAGTACCACTCGGGACRCTTTCACCTCCATTTCAGCGCCAGAGAGGCGAGACGCCTCCACTGCCTCTCACCCTCAGGAGGGGGTTGAGGTGGCTACAACCACCTGTGCTCCAGCGAGGCTGAATGCGTCCACCTCCACCTCTGCACCAGCTGGACTCAATGCAGCCACTTCCACGTGTGTTCCCCAGACGATCGACGCCTCAACTGGCCCCTGTGCTCTACTGAGGGTCGATGCATCCACCACCTGTGGGGAGGGTCTTAGGGGGGAGGAAGTGTCTGTGACCACCCTGGCGGCTCTGACGGTGTGCATGGCAGCAGCTCTGGTGGAGCTGTTGTTCCCGCCTATCACGGCTCCGGTGATGGACTCCATGGAGCCAGAGTCAGAGCCAGCGCCGGCAGCTGCAGTCCCTGCCGGGCTCACGCCGCCGGCTGCAGTCGAACCTCCTGCTGGTCCTGCAGAGTCTCATCCAGAGCCGGGTCCTGCAGAGTATCATCCAGAGCCGGGTCCTGCAGAGTCTCATCCAGAGCCGGGTCCTGCAGAGTCTCATCCAGAGCCGGCCCCTCCCGAGTCTCATCCAGAGCCGGCCCCTCCCGAGTCTCATCCAGAGCTCCGCCTTCGCCGCGGCCGAGTCCACGGCCGCCCTCCAGAACTCCGTCTTCGCTGCGGCCGAGTCCACGGCCGCCCTCCAGAGCTCTATTGACCCTTCAGATGTGCCTAGGGCCATCTTAATGACTGTTTATTTTGTTATTTTTTTTTCCCAGGACTTCATGTCGGTTTTTTGTTTTTCCTTTTTCTGTGTCTTTGTTTCATGCCCTCCGTCCTGTCCTTGTTTTTTAGTTCCCCCACCTCCCACCCGTGTTAGTTCTCTTAATCGTCGGAGACGATTCGTTGAGGGGGAGGTACTGTTGAGAATGTGTTTTGTCTGTTGTTTTGTTCATGTCGCCCTCGTGTGTCTTCTCAGTGTATTTACCACTCATCCTTCCTCAGTCTGTTTTCTAGGTCACTCATTGTATTATGCTCACCTGTCGCTTGTTTTGTAATCAGTCTCCTCTCCAGCTGTCGCTCATTTCTCATTTCCTCTGTTAGTATATATTCTGGTTCAGTTCTTCATCTCATCGCTGAGAGTTTAAGCAACTTCTGGCGAGTAACAAGTTGATTTCTAAGGCGGTTTTGGCATAATCTGGACTGTGAGTAGATTAAGATGGCTAGTTGTAGTG